AGAAAACAAACCCAAGAAACTTCAGTTGGTCTCCCAACCTATCTCACTTCATACAGAAATAACTTTCAGTAAAGGTTTTATAAGCAGTATTGCACATAGTGCAGGAAAAAATGGATCTTAAAAATGTATGTAATGTAAGAAAGTTTTCATTATTTTTACAACATCACTTACTAAAAGAGCGTAATTTAATGGGCTGAAGGAAAACATAAGGTATTCAGTTTAGAAGACTGTTCAGAAACCACTGGCTTGCTCTCCTTTTCTCCTTTAATAAACAAAACGTATTTGTATATGTAAAATAAAGAGTTGTCTACTTATAAGGTCATCTGTTCCCCTTGCTACTGTGTTCCTCCTGAAATCCAGATGCACCATCACATGGATTGTTGGTTTTTTTTTTTTCCAAAACCAGTTTAAATTTAGTATTTCTATCTAATTGCAATTTATGCGTTTTCTTTTTCCTTCATTGCATGAACAAAGAGAAAATCATCTTCCATTTTTACCTTTTCCCCTCAAACTACCTTCTGCAGAAGCTCATTCAGTACAAACACAGGTTTTCTTGATGTACAAAAGGGAGATGGGTCCGGTATGCTCCTATTGTCTGGATAAAAGAGTTCATACAAACAAACCCATTCCTCTGAAATCTTTATTATGGGAAGCACGAAATCAAGGTACAAGGTGCCCAAGGATTCTACACAGCCTCAGAGTGGAAGCGGAAGGCACCTGCCGCTCTGAGTGGCTTTGCAGAGGCTGCTGAGGGTACCTTCAGCCCGACCATGTCAATGCACAGTGGGGTCTGTAACGGTTTTGACACAACTGAAAACCCACAGTACTGTAACGCCAAACGGAACTCAGTGATGGCATTTCTGTGCACTCAGCCTCTTCTGGAAGAGCCTGTGAACACCACTACCAACTCAGATGGCAAGCACAAAGGGAAAATAGCTCTGGGTTCCTTGCACAGCAGAACCGTCAGGAAACAGATCTTCACGTGTGTAGCTCACAGGTTTAGTCTGCAAAGAACTTTTGTCCTTACCCAGTCTATGCAGGAGGAGCAAAGCTCTCCTGGACTGGCACCAATTCCTTTGCCACAACCCCCCTGCACTGCTCACGTTCCAGCTTTCTCCAAATTTCCCTTCTTGTTAGCTTGTTTTATCAGCTGACTACATAGACACTGATAATAAATGTGACTGCAAGCATAGACAGTAACAGAATCAAACACTCATTCCATTTTCTGTTATGTACTTACATTTTATTACAGACTAATATGAAACCATCTCATATTCATACTAGATTTTAATTACTCGAGAGTAATCTTAAACCAGTCTTGAATGTTTGTGTTTATTGCAAGCAGATTCTTTTCTCCTCCTCATATATTCTACATAAGGATCCAAAATGTGACTGCGTATAAACAAGTTATATTTGGTTATCTACAGAAATAAACATTAAAAATAGCACTGAAAAGAAACTTTACAGTAATGTATTCACACACTGACTCTTCAAATCAAATAAACCAAGTGGTACAGGATAATCTAAACATTTGATTTGAAGGCTGATTTAGTTTCAAATAAATGCACCTATAATTGTACAATTAAAAATAAGTGTCAGTATTTGGTGCCGATGACTACAGACATCTGTTATGTTTAATGCACAGAGAACTACCCCCCAGCTCCCATACAGCATCTTCCGCAGATTCTACTTTACGTTAGTCATGAAAGGACATCATCTAAACTGCAGCGTGTACACAGCACAGAGCGTGTGTTGGAGACAACGCAGGTTAAAACTGTGGATTTTCGTAAGGTAAAAAATTAAAGCTCTATAAATGGATTTTTAGATTAGCCTGCAAAGTAGAATCACGTACTTTTCACTTCCAAAATACTTTCACAAATTTCCATTAAAGCCTTTTTATCAGGCAGTAGCATGAGCACAATGATCCCACTGGCTTCCAAAAGAAAAGTAGTGCAGTTGCTCCACTAAGAGATTTTTTGTTTCCTTTCACATTTGCAAGCCAGTTGGGTCAAGACAAACAGGCTAATGCAAGCAAGAAAGTAAACTGGAAGCTTTTACATTTAAGTGGCTGAACAAACAATTATTATTTATGGTAAAACAAAAAAGACCTTTTGCCACAAGCCACTGTGGGAATATATGAACTTCAGTGGCTGAAAAGCTTGAAATACTTTCTAAGTCGTCACGTACATTTGGTTAGCGCTTACCAGTTTCAAGACATTTATAGAAGCAGTTATGGAGACACTATGCTGTTAAAGCTGCAACAGTTTAAACAAGGCAAGTTAGGAAGTTATGTAAGTTTTTATACTTTTCCCCTTTAATTTTTTAATTAATTTCAACACATAAAAATCTGTCTCTTTTCAGGGTCCCAGCCATAATAAAACATTCTAGCACATTTTGATCTAACTTCTATTTGTTCATCTTTGTATCGTCTGATCCATTTACAACGGAACTCCCAGGTAACACGGGCTGCTGCAGCGGACTCGGTTTGCATGGCAATAGTAACAGGGACTGAAGCAAAAGCACATCAAGTGAAACCCAGTCGATGTTTTATGGGGTTTTTTTCCACTAAACGGTCTATTTTAACACGCAAACAGTACCAACTTTTCAAGGTAAAAGTATTGCTAAATCAAAGCAGAAACTTACACTTAAATTCAAGCATTCTTTCTCTCTCTCCCCACCCCCCCTGTCAAATGACATGCTTAACTGAAATTTCCCAAGCACTTATAGAGGTGTTTCAGCCTCAGTAATGGCAGTAATTTCGAAGTGCAGGGCTACATGAAGTTTGCAATGAACTGCCTTGTTAGTAGGCAGAACAGGAATGCAGCATTTTCAAAAACATCAAGCAAAAAAATCTCATTTAAGGCTAAAAGATGGAACTCAGACAAGTAAAAAGGCAGGAGGCTCTAGAGAGTAAAAAAGCCAGCAGTAGTAGCACAGCGCTGGAAGTACAGCGCTCTCCTCTCTGCTATTGCAAACCCCAACAGAACATCAACAGCTTGGGTGAGACTGGCAGAGCAGCAGACCTGCTTTTCTCATGTGACATTCATTAGCATTTTAACATTCAGCCACGACTCCACGCTAAGCTAAATCGAAGTGGCCAAAAACTCATAGGTATAAAAAAAGCCTTCGAAACATATACTTCAAAAAAATAGAAATGGTGTGTTAACAAATGTATGCGTAAAACAGATTTATAAATAGCTACAGTATGAAAAATATTTCAGTGCAAAGGCAATTTTAAGATTTCTAAAAAATACATTACAAATAATTTGTTAACTACACACAAGAAATTTGTCACTGCTACTGGTATAAAATTTATAGCCATATTAACTTCTTAAAAATATATACACCAGTGTTTTATGTAGGGGACGGTTCTAACTGACCCACATTCAAGTCTGCAATGGCAAGTACATGTACACATACCCGCACCCACACATGTATGTATTTCAAAATGATACTGCTATGAGGACATTGTTTGAAACTTAAAAATGCTACATGTTAAATGGTAAGAATACCTTCAGCTGTGGTGCTCCCCATTACACTTCTTTAAATTCTCTTCTCTTTGGTATACAGAAAATTTCACGTCTCACTCTACAATCTCTGCTTGTCCCAGGCCATTTTGATAATATTTCACTGTTCAATGTGAAAATTACCCAGAATATTGTGAAGAACATTTCCTAGTAAGTTGATTTTTCTTTTATTGAAAAGTAAATTAGGAAGTAAACTATTTTGCTTCTGCTTTTTTGATTGTGGTTTTTTATTTGTTTTGGTGTTATGGGGTTTCTTTAAACACAAAAGGGAAATTTTTTCTCTGTCTCCCTGGTCCATTCAAAATACAGCTAAAAATCTCTTGGCCAGGTCTTCCAATAAAGGCTGCAGCTCTGATTTCAAATATTTTCTTTTCACATTGAAAGAGCTTTCTAGCTAATGTCCTCCCAGAGGTATCTAATAATGACTACGGTCATTAACCAGTACTAACCACCAGGCTGAAATTGACTGAAATCAGATTACTCCTTCAGATATTTCTGCACCCCAAAATAAAACACTGGACTAAAGCAACAAGACAAGGACGCAGCTAATACTTGAATTAGTGCCGGATAACATAAACGTAGCAGAGAAAGTGCAAGTTGGCTGTCATTCTTAAAGTCACTTAGAATCCTTGCAGTCAAACGAGTTCCTATACCACAACTACGGTTTAACTGTTCATAAACAGCCGTGTGCCACCTTGTGGTTTGCTTGCAGAGGTTAACAGTTGCGTGCTTTGCAATACATCTAATCAAGCCAATTAGCCAGTATTTAACCATACACACACAAAAAACTTACATCAAAATTAAGAGGATGAATCCAGATAGTAAGAGCCGCTTATCTGGAAAAATAGCCTTTCTTCTTTTAAAGAAATAAATGTGTTCTAAAGGGTTTAATATGTAATGCTTTTGGCTATGCCTATTTTATAATCACAGGGAGAGGAAGGGGGAATGCTGGGTAACCTGCACCTATGACAAATTCACAAAGACCTTTTAGGCCAAATGCTTACATTCAGGTTTTAAGTAGATACCAACACTGATGATATTTACCTACTTAACAGCCAACTTGACTTCATACAGCATGTACATAATCCACACAAGGATTGTTTTGCCTATCTTTCTACAGGGGAAAGCTAACTGAAAACCAGACATAGCCCTGATTTGGCCACTTACAAGGAAGTGAGCATTAGAGAGTGTTTCTTGAAAGCAGATTTGCACAGAGGAAACACCAGTTTGTTCTACAGAAAGAGCAAAGAAAGAAAAAGGACAGAGGAAAATCAGAAACAGCACTTGTTAAGTATGATTTAGGAGACTTTCATTGGAGATAACTGAGGTCATTGCTTCTGGCTGAAAATTAAACCTGTTGAACTCAAAATGTAGGTCGCTGACTGAAACTATACACTTCAAGTAACAAAGACAATGACTAAAGATGACAGAAGCAGTAAATGCACAAAAGTCTTGACACAGGATGAAGAGAACTTTTAGTGCTACCAGTCTCACAGTACCAGACTGTGCAGATTGTTCATTGCTCCAGTAGTTCAAAACATAAAAAGGGGCCTATTGGCCTGGAAGGGTTCATACTTCTAGCTCTTGATCCTGCTTGTCTGAACACTACCTCAGACAGCAAAAGCCACGTATAGTTTAATGTATTTCTGTGACATATTTGTTTCCTGAAAAAAGAAATAAATAGTTTTTAAAGGCTTGACTTGGTGTTCTGTCATACAGACGTTTCCAAACCTGACCCACTGTAGTGGTAGCCTGCACTGGGACGGCAATGCCTATTTGAATAGCCAAAGACAGATGGAAGTACTGAATAATCAATGCCTCTCCAGTGCGTAAACATCATTTTTTTAGAATGAGAATTAGACCTTCTTGCTGGGGAACTGCTGCAGTCACTGCTCCTGTATCTTGGGCTTTTCAGACAGGCAAGAGGTGTGAATTCCGAGACGTGCTCCTGACAGTGCCTCGATGCATCCTGTTAAAGGGGAAAAAACATATACACAGTAAATAAATGATTTTGGAGCTAAAAGTCGACAGTTGTGTTCTTTCTTAGGGCCACTGTGGCCTTGGTATAATAATGCCTTTCACTAAATTGACACTCTGGCTATTTGTTTCATGTAAAGCTATAACCCCTCATGATGTTGAGCAATCAACCATTTTCAACATGATTAGTTTTATATTAAGACCTACAGAACCAGGTTTAATTTTACACATAATCTCTAAACCTGATAATGGGCTCTTTAGAGAACAGATGAAGACACAGAGGACTGCTTTCAAGTTGAACTGTTTTAAATCAGGTTTGTATTTCATTTCACAATCTCTCCTGGCACATCTTTTTTATCTCTGAATATCTTTAGTCAGGACTTCCTACAGAGAATTTTAAAACAGAATAGATTCAAGTACTTTGCCCAGTACTTCCAAAGAGAATTCTTTACAGTCAGTTTGTGTTAATAGATGAAAGTTCCAGGGGTTTAGTGCACTTGATTTGTACTTCTAAGCAGTATCTGATTTTGGACTTGCTTAGGTTACATGTAGCAGCCAATTTACGCTATTTTGGCGTAATTGTCCATAAAAATTTATAGGTACCACATAATCACTCCACACTGGCAGAATCAGCACTTCCACTCAGGAAATACTTGGGATTACAGTAACACCACAGCCGCATGACAAGACCCTGGAACATATTCATGAACTAAAAGAAAATTAGCACAGCACTTTCCCTCATCAGTTTATCTAATTCTTCATACCGAACGCACAAATAGTTTCCAGGTATAGAGGTATGGAGGTTACAGGATGGTATTTAAGATAAAAATGCATTATAAACATGATTTAAATCAGTGTTATCAATCACACTCTCCATAAATGCTATATAAGCCAGTTAATCCTCTATCTTGATCATCACCTTCCTCCTTTCCTGTTAACAGCAACACAGGAGCAAAAGGGACAAAATCACAAAGGAAATGTCAATGATGTAGCTTATAGAAGTTAGAGAAGTTTGACTGAGAATTTAATATCACACTTTTAAAGCCAATCACAAGCTTGAAACAATACTTTTGCATAGCCAAGAGCAATCAGAAAACTCTTACAAGGGATACTCTTGGAAAAGTCAGTAAAGTACACCAAACTGCTCACTAATGGTAAGGCCTGGGTTCTTTTAAACACACATATAGACCAAACGCCAACATCAATACAGAAAAATGTAGATAGGTAACAGAATAGCAGACTTTGTTTTGGAAACGTTGGAGGGAGTATTCATACACCGTATGGGAACTATATTTCCTATTCTTCCAGCTAAAAAGTGAAGCATTTTGGTTACCACGTGTATTTCTAAAAATAAAATAATGGGTTTTCTACACATAGCTCCAAGGCAAGCATACCTGAAGTTGCCCAAGAAAGCTGAGTTCTTCTACCACTATTTGTCTAGCAGTTATTAAAAGTAAATCAAAAGCACCCTTCGACTACCGTGAAGCATCACAGCCCATACCAGCACATTACACTGCACCCGTCACCTCCAAATATTGGAACTTTATACCTTCACTTAATCCTTCGTGTGCTGCTTCTGGGGTCAGGAGAGCATGAAGTGACTGAAGCAGATACGGTACCCAGGTAGGAATGTATCTGCATAAAAAGTGTACCTTCTTACCTATACCCACTGGTGTTACCAGTGGCATGGCAAGGAGATGAGGTAAAGCAGAGAACTTCATTCTGCTGCCCTAATGTTTGGAGGAATTAGGAGCTCATTACTTGTGCTGGTTTCTCAAGTATTTGGCAAGACTACCACCCTTCTCTCGTGATCCGAGGCAGTGATGCACCAATGCACTGCTCTATATAGATACATTACTAGGTGATAGATACTACTGGATATAGAGCCCCAGTCTCTGTATCTGACCCAGGGTCCTAGTCACAGCTCACTTTCTTTTGCATGGTTATTTTCCTATTTTACTGTCTGTATTTGGTCTATATATGTATTCAAGACCATGAGAGGTGATGGAAAAAACTGCTTGTGTATTAGAATTACTTCTGACTTTATGTATTCTACACCATGGTGTAATGTGAGTACAGTCTGCAATGGCGACCACAGTTCTTACAGAAGAAATGTCACACAACACCTACACATAACATAATGTATTTGTAAGACCTTAATATGGGTATATGGATTCATTGTTTTGCCTTACCCAAGTAAGTGTCTGAGACAAAAAGATCTTACCTGTGGCATGGAACATCTCTTGCAAAAACTAGGCTCTCCAAGTAAAACATAATGATGTTGTATCAATATTGATTAAGTACATCAAAAACTCTGGAGGAAACAGTTGATTTGAAAATAGCACAGTTCAAAAGAAATTAACCCAAACTGGCAACACGTACAGTACTGTTACCTAGCTTTGATCTAATTATGGCTCGGAAGCTGAAAGATTTCCTTCAAGAAGTGGCCCATCGCTGTTCACCAGTGCATTTAGGGCTGTTTTATGTCTCATATTCTTCTGCAAGGATGAGGAAAAACAGTAAGACTCTCGCTGAATACAAGAGGGAAATGTGAATGAACTGTACCATTTGGTACAAATGTTACTATTGTAGCAAAGTCCTGTAAAAGTGATAGATTTTCTGACATTTAAAATGGAAAGGTTATCCTGTGTAAAACAAGGTTTCTGATCCTTGATACTAAGATTATCATTTGAGCCCCTCTGAAGATGTTTCTAGTTCATTTTAAACTCTGTTAAAAATACTTAGTTACTCTCAAAAGCACTTAACTGTACCATGACTAAATACTGTGGGCTGTCCTTCCCCTTTGACAATAACCTGTACTTGGGGTATGATGAAGCCAAGTCGATTCCAAATTAATGATCAGATGTCCCACTTCGCTTCTCCCCAGAACGACTGGTTGGGGAGGTGATGGGGCAGTGCTAATGATGGCTGACTGATAGCTTTGGCATTTCACCATGGGGAGAGGGCAGGGAGTTACCAAGCTAGCTTCTCCCATGGGATTCAAATATTGCAACAGCAAGATCTATCTCTTTGTTTTCCATAGAAGAGGAGCCTGACACATGACAAAGGCAACAGTTTGCTGGTGACCAGTTTTCTAAGAGGAACAGAAGAATAATGAATCCCCAGAGAGGCTTCCCCAGGCAAAAGGACCACTTTGGGTTTCCCCAAGCGCAGCAAAGGGTAGAAATCTCATAAGGAGGCTGACGGGCTGATCTTGTGGCTGAAGTGAAAGTAATTAAAAAAACAATCAATGAGAAGCAAAAAGTATTTCTTAAAAAGGGATGAAAGCACAGAAGTTATTTACAGCTCAGAATCTAAACACCTGGTATTTCAGCTACAGAATATTTGGGATTGCTGAAACACGGTCAGTCAATGTGATAATCATAAAAAGAGGAAAAGTTAAAGTGAATTTATATTTTCCCTAATATAAATTCTTCTGAGCTTCTGCTATTAGTGAAAGAAGAATAAAGAAAAAGGAAATATAACCAATTAATATAGATTGGATATATAAAAGAATACCCTATTGCTTTTTAAAAGTAAAGGCTGAAAGAAACCTCACAGCTGCAGAGTTCCCAGTTATAGCACAAAATTCAGCTTGTTTCTTTGAGCCAAAGAGTCGCTGGGACTACCTGTATTAGAAACGAGCAGATTTTGACCAGAATTACCAGAAGGCAACAGATTCCTCCAAAGCTTTTGCAGAATTAATGTTTTAGCCCAAGAAATACAGCAGTTCATACATGTGTGTATATATATATAAATATACATGCACATATATATATACACGTATACTTGTATGTACTTACATGTACGTGCACACACACACATCTTTGTGTGTGTGTATACATATACATATAACTGAAAAGCTCTCTCAAAACCCCCAGAACTATAATTGGGAGTGTTTAACAACCTCTGAATGATAATGATGGTTAACTATCACCCACCACACACCGGAGTACTCAAAAAAAAGAGAAAAATATAGAAGCATAAGAATTACTTAAAAGCCCCGTTCAAACCAATCTGAAGGCACTTAAAAGCCAATTTAAGCCAGATTTTTCAATAGTGAAAAAAACTTCGTGTGTTTTCCCCTGACTTACATAATTACAGTGACTTTTATTAGCTATACATTTTTGAAAGGGGAAAGAAGGAGGAAATATCTACCTTATCTTAACCAGTTAAAAAATAAAGATATAAAATCTGCAATGGAAACCAACGTCTCCTAGTATTAAGTCAAAAATAGTTTTCTTGCAGACTGTAGAGAAGCCAAGATTTACTAGCATTTCTCCTACTTTTATGTTATATCATCATATACTTCTGAATCTTGAGCTGCTTGCTTTCTAGAAAAAGCACAAAATTTCAGAAAATGGAATACAAGAAAAGCTCAGTTTCAAAATTCATGCTGGACATAATTTATTAATAAAAATGTTGCATTTCCTTTTATCACAGCAGAGCAGATATGTTAATATATTCCAAAGATAGCTTAAACTGCTTCTAGTAACACATTTTCTGTATGACATTAGTAACATCAACATAATCAGAATTATCACTTCTTTGTGTGGCAACTATTCCATGTACTCTGGCACAGTGCAAATGTGTCATACGTTCACCTACAGACAGACCAATGATTAAAATGGGGATCTAAGAAGCCTAGATTCTTGAGGCAGAAACACTATGTAAAACACAGTGACAAAAATGATAGTGACAGTGACAGACTGTGACAACGATTCATGGAGTCTTTGAGATAGACAGAAGAAAACAACTATTCTTTTTCAAAACATAGTTGACATGAGTCAGAAATGGAGATGAGTATGGTAAATAACTTCTGATGATAAACTTTTCACTGTCCTTTGAATGAAATGGCCAAGCATGCAGAAAGGCAGAAAAAAGTCACCTTTTGTTCCATTAGAAACTTAGACTGCTTGAAGTCTGAGAAAGCATAAAGATGGTGGACTGCTCAACAGAAAGGCACTGATGCTTAGTCTGATTTCCCCAGGAGGTTGTAGGAAGTAACCGTGCGCATCATTTATGTTTAAAGCAAGGTAGCAGTTATTTAGACAAAGCAGATTGGAAGACAGAAAGAAACAGAGAGGGAAGAAGAAACACAAGGGATATATCTGGTTAAAAGTCATTGATTTTCTACTAAATACTAAAAAATGAATACTGCCAGTGTTAAGCCCAAGGTCTGCTTTACAATTGATTCATTTTCCAGAATTAATATATAATATCTGTAAAAAATGCTGTAATAGCTTTGCTTGGGCTTTTGTTTGCTAGCTTGTTTCTTTGCATTAACCCATCCCCATTTTCTCTCATTACACTTTAAAGCATGCAGAACCTAAACTGAGATCAACTTTTTCCACAAATAACATACATGACAAAGAGAAAAAAAATATATGGCAAACCAGACAACCACTAAATGCTGATCTGCCTGTGAATGCTTTTTTGCTGTTTATTCTTTCCTGTCCTCTTTGAAGTGTGGCATTTTCACAACTGTGCATTCAAGGAATACAAAACAATGGCAAGGGCTTTTACTTTGCAGATATGAGGGAAGAATTTTTTACCTTTGCCAAAGGGGAAATTTTACCTTCCTTGGAAGTAAAGTTCCTTTATTCCTTTCCTCTTTATACAAAGTATCTTCTCAAATAAACATCAAAATGCTAACTAATCCCTACAGAAAGAGTTGCTGGTAACTCATTATTTTAACCTACAAGCTGCAGTTGATAGGCTGAAAAAGGCAAGGGAAGTAACATTAAGTTTTAGGTTCAACACCTATACTGTCCTTCACCTTCTAAACACATATATGAAAGTTTGCTGGGGTCAAAAATACAGGTAACATTTTCTATTGCAGTTGGTTTGATGGCCCAGCATAGTACCATGCTTCCCACAGAATCTGGCTTCCCTTTCAGCCTCAGCAGAGCAGGCCTGTATTTACACAGTAGTTTCTCCTTTTGGGCTGATGAGAAGAAACGAGGCAACAGATTTTAAAATACTCTTCCCATTGGCATGTTAAGGCACATTTATGTAGAAATAATGTATCAGAAGAGGTAAAGTGTGAGTTGAAGTATAAAAAAGGAAAAAAATATTAATAAATATGAGTAAGTTTTAATACATGTGTAGTTTTAACAGGCATAGTGTAAGCATAAAATAATTTGCTACAAAAGTATGCACAGATCATGCAATATGAATGTTGGCATAAGTTTACTATGTATTCCTTACCAACTTTCTATATACTCATCACATTTATTTTAAGTGTATAAACTCTAGATGTGTTCAATAATAACAGTGCTGAGCCATTTATCTGTCTCCCACCATCTGCATCAGCTACTTCCCTGTGGTTGCTGGTACAGAGGCACAGGGGCTGCCCCAGGATTCAGGTAAATACCACCATGTAAGTAACAGGCAGTGACTTTCACCATACTGCTCAGAAGTGGCTGGTATGGAACCGGTGATACATACCACAGATGGCAAACCTCTGCTCTAATCTTGTCTCTAACCTTGAACTAGGACTAACTATTAGAGACTTGTGATACAAAAAACCTAACTTCACAATGAAAAATATTTTTACCTGGATTCTTTCTGTTGCTGTAGGCCACAACTGTCTGTAAAAGACCTTCTTGAGAACATCTGGAAGAAGGCTGACAGTTATGAGCAGAATTATACCCAGCCACGCAGGACCACTAGACAGCATTTGCATGAACACGTAATACATCCTCTGATAATTGAGAAAAGGCCTAGTAGGAAAAAGATTAAACAGATAGTACATTTCAGTACACAAAGACTGGCCATCTAAAATGTAACAATTATGACACTGATGAAATACTTCAACTTCCCAGTCTGTGGGAGTTCATCCATCCTTGTTTTCTCAAAAGCAGATCTAAGAGAGGTAACTACCTTCCTCTTGTATACCAGGCTGCAAGAAATAGGCTCTATCCTCCCTCCCATGCTGCCTCTCACTTACAAAGACACACAAACCAAAAACCCCAACACTTTCAAGTGGTTATGTGCAAGACTTATACTAATTCTCACAAAGCTTCTGACCAACAGTAGAACAAGTAGGTGCCCAGGCATCTACAGTAGATCTGCTTTGCTAAATAAGGGCACCAATAATAAGCACAACTGGTTATCCACACTTCAGCGTGAGTACTGCTCCCTGGCTCTAATTGAGACTGCTAAAGATAGCTCTCTCCAAGATAAGCCCAGAAGGTAGGTAGAAGCTGCACAGACATGACCTACTCAGTGACATTTTGCCTTAGCTCCATGAACCAGCCTTTGGACTGCTTTTGGCTGCCCCAGTGGCAGTATGATATCTGGTATTCTTCTCCTTATATTCTTCCTTAAGAATATTTTAGCAGACAGTAAAAGAAGAACTGAGCATTCTCTAATTATCGTTACAGATGTGCTTAAAATGTGATTGCTATTTGGAGTTCTGCAGTATATAAACACTAAATTTAATTCTGTTTGGGACAAAAAGGTGAAATATGTAACAACTTTTACGTCTGAAAGAACTTTTGCAATGCAATTTATATTAGGGTTCATACCAAATAATTCCTCCCCAGAGCAGAGAAAAGACAACGTAGAATACCAGTGATCCCCAGATCATGAAGTGATTTATCCACGTCCAATAGTGTGTATCTAGTGCAAGCTGACAAAAAACAAGTGAGATCATATGGTGCTGTTACTATCTAGAAGCAACAGAATACTCAGCAGGAGATGAAATAAAATGACACCCTTTGAAAAAAGAGAATGATTCTACATAGAATTAGCTAAGAAACTTTTTTGGTTTTGAGCACACTTACGAAAGCACAGATAGCAAAATCTGTATTTAAACTAATTTAAACTAATACAACAATGTATGTCAGAGAGAGAAACCGATACAAGTAAGCAGCAATCAGAAAACAAGCCCTAAGAAAATGTCACTGGATACCTTACCTTCAATGTAACCGTGAATACAAGCACAGTGAACACCAGTGTCCCAAAGGTCCAGTTTCCAAACATCTACAAAAAATGGTCCAAAGCAGTTATAGGTAATATTGTCTACTACCTGAACTGTCCAGAATAAACGTCCTAAAACTATGTATTGCTTTGTATCAGGAACTCACAGTTAGGCAAAAACACCGAAATCCTACATGATCTATCCAGTGCAAAATGTTTTCACTTCTTGCTCTTGTGTGTACACACCTCGGATTTCATACAGACAGGAAAAAAACTCACAACTGATGCACTCAACCTGAAGTTCAGTTATGTTTCCTAATTAAAATCAGGTGTAGCACAGTTAATAAATCACTGAGATTTACAAATGAACCGGAGTAATTTCATCAATCTTCTTTGATATCATCTTTTCTCTGATCTCCCTTCTCTGTGTCCTTGGTACGCCACAATTTCTTGGAGGTTCAACAGCATGTTATACAGATGAGTAACAGAAGAAGAAAGCATGTGCTAACTATTAAAGCCATGTAAGTATATAAACATTCTACATAGGTTTTAAGATAAAACACTTGTGAGTTGTGGTTGATCTTCTCCACACCTGCATAATGAAATAAAAACATTTCAGCTTTTCAAGTGGGCAGGAATTATCATTAATGCTGAGGGAAGGAAGAACTGCCTGTGAAAATGGTCACAGAGGATTGCTTGGACTGCAGCAGCTAAGAGATAACCAGGTTCAGGATCTAGAGAAGTGTTAGGAAAGTAAGCAATGGAGTTCGGACAGTGCACTTTAGGAGGAGAGACTTTGTCTGATTCAGGAATTGCACCCCGAGAGAGAAGGGTGCCCAAGAGAGCTGAATGAACAGCTGAATGACTTTGAAAGAGACAGCTGCTGTGATCTCATGAATTCTCTTCTGCAGGAAGATATGGAATTTCAGAAGACCACCTACTTGGCTGAGCAAGATGTTTCTCAATGAACAAAAAGGCAAAATGGAAGCATTCAAGAGATGATAATATGCGCAGGCAGCAAGTGGGTAGCATAAAAGCATTACTTGGATATAGAGGAAGAAACTCACAGATGAAGCCCAGCTCAAACTAAGAACTGGCTGAACCACGGACTCAAAAGTTTAATGATCCATGTCCTTGATGTTTAGGTGGCTGCTGGCAATACCAGAACCACACAAGGAACTGATAATGGGGCTGCTACTGTTGAATATCTTTGTTAGTGGCCTCGATGGTAACACAGGGAACATCAAATTGCCAGGTGATACAAAAATAGTAAATATCTGACATAATGAATGGCAGGGTTTCAATCCAGAGAGATCTACAATGATTTGAAAAGTGGGCTAACATATATCTTAAGAAATTAAATAAGGAAAAATGCTAAGTTTTAGACCAATGGAGGAGCACTGCCATATATTAGAACTGACTGGCTGAGCAGTGAGTCTGCTAAAAAGGAAGTTGCAGTGGGGTTACAGTGGATGCCAGGTTGGATACAAGTCTATACCATGCTCTCTATATACATAACAGAAACTGCAAACTGAGCTGTATTGGATGGAACATGGCCACTGAAGAAAGGTTATTACTCCTATCTATGTGACTATAGTGAGGCTGAACCTGGAACACCATGCCCAGTTTTGGGCCTCTCAGTTCAGGAAAGAAGTGAAAAAAAAAAATACGGAAGGATCAACTGGCAGGCAGCCAAGGTGGTTAGCTGTCTATAGCTCTCCTGTGAAGAGGCCAAGGGACTTGTGTCTGATAGAGGTTAAGGAACAACCTAGTAGCTGCCCACAAACGTTTGAACAACTACAAAGATGAAGAATTGCAACAAACCTCTCTTCAGCAACAAGAAAAATTCTGCTTAGGATTTCGGAGATTTTTTTTCACTATGGAGGCAGACATAGGAAGAGGTTGCCCAGGAAGGTTATGGAATCTCTATTCTCAGGGATTTTCAAAACTTGAAAAAGACTAGACAACGCCTTGAGCAACTTGATTTTAATTAGTCCCACACCAAGCATAAAGTTGAATTGGATCACCTCCAGAGTCCCTTCCCATCAACATTATTCTATATGAGCTCACCCAGTATTAGATGACAGGGGATCCACATGAACAAGTGATCACACAAAAGTGCTGCTGCAGGAAAAACTCTGAATGGAGACCACAGCCAGCCACGAGGCAGAAATCTCTAGGAAACTAGGCTGAGAATCCAACCAGTTTGGAATGGGAAGTAATTTAAAAATATTAAAACTAATTTTAAAAATAAACATATAACCAGCTGAAAGATTAATTTTTCTGAGTATCCATTTCATTATTTTAAGATTACACAATGTGTGACCAAATGCATAGAACACAAGATGAAGTGCAGAAAACCTTCAGCATTTTGACCTTTTACTTTGATGTGTAATGTGATAATTTTATAGGATCATGCCATTGCTACCATATTTTGTGTGCCCTAAAAAAGATATCGGTGCAGTTAAAACTGGACAGGAATCTAGTTCATGAACTACAAATTAGGCCATTTACTGACTGTCTGCTTGTAGTTAAGTTTTACAATACTCTCATGTCATATCTGGCATCTCAGGCTAGTGTCACTCTAGGTTTCTGCATACTGAACAGATGAGTCTGTATTTCCAATAAAAGCTGCTAGATTAAATAAAAAAAATTGAAACAACCTTCCTCTGCCTCTGTCAGGCTAGACAGAAAGCATCGGGCTGTAACCAACCCTTCACCTACCCACTTTTTTGTCTTAAAAATAAGGTCACAGCGAAGGGACAGCAGGCTCCATAAAGCTGCTAATTTGGCACAGAGAAAGGTAAGCAGAGCAATATGGGATGGTGTGGGTTACAAAACCTCACAATGTATCTTCAGCATCGAGTATCTCAAGATGCTACTTGTCTTCAGGCTGTGAATCATTCTTTTGTATGTCTGTTAACATCTAGTTTATTAAATATTTTCCCATGCTCTGCTCCCAGCCTATCCAATTCTCCCCCTCCTCCTGTGACTGTATTTGCTAATCCTGCATGTTCCAGTTCATCATTCTAGTTAACTCTCTCCCTTCCTACTGTTTTGTATTTCCCATTCCATTATTCCTTTTAACTTAGTTTCTCCTACCTATCTCTGAAACCAGCTTAATTACATTTAATCCACTCTGCACCGAATATTTAAAAAAAACCAACCACACACGGGAAATACATTATTACATGGGTAAGCTAAGACGACATTTACAATCTGCAAGTACTTTGACAGTGCCTTCTCTTCTTTCCTTCCTTATGTAGTATGTCTCTAACTTTATGTTTTAATAACACCAACAACGATGTCATATCCAAAGCGAAACACCATTCACACAAAGCAGTACCACAAATTAGGAACAATTAATAGAAGATAAATCTTTGGCATCTTAGGTTTGTTTACCAGGAAATGACCAAGGCAGGCATTTATGAAGTAAATCTCAGTGATTAAAAGTACACATTTCCATTATTGTAGTAATATCACTCTACAGCATGCAAACAGTTTCAAACAAATTTCTAAATACTGAGAAACATCCTGGGGGCAGCTTATGTTTTGAAGCAAGCTTAACGGTATGTAAATTTCAGTCTGATACAGGCACCAATTTAAATGAAAGATACTGACTTTCTTCACTTTTTACTGATTTTCCCACAAAGGCAATTAGTTTCTGGACAGGAAGAGGAACTAAAAATTTTTGCTTCACCACCCATTTTAACAATTTAGAACTTAGCTTGAATCATCTTACATCATTTATGGTTCTAGTGTTACCTGCAGCCCCTTTAACCTGTTCTCTGTTCTACAGTAACATATTGTTGTGATAAACCTTTCAGATCTTTCATTGACTTTTTCCAAATGTGAGCATAATTTCAATACTTGGAAATAACCATCAACACCAACTAGCATTTATGCATGTATGAACTCCTATGTATCTCTGGGTATTCCTGAACACTAACATTTTCAAGCCTAAAATTGCAACTCTATATAAATTTTTATACACACACACAATCATGCATGCTGAGTAATGATGAATTTTCTACACTCAAGAGTCAGAATGTCTCCAACAACACATTTTAGCACCAAATATTAACATGGGTATCCAGTTGTAAATATAAACATTCACGATTTGGAAGTTAGGTACTAGTCTGGCTTTAGAGCTTTACCAAGCATTTGACTGAATGTGTGCAACAGGAATAGAATAAAATTTCAAAAAAGAACTCGGAATATTTGCAGTACAAACTTTGCATAGGTATAATTTGTCTAGTTTTCAGGACAGTAAACATAAGCTGATGCAGAATTTTGAACACCTAACATAGAGCGTAATGGTACCACAAAAAGAAGTGCTCCAGTGTATGCCTAATGGAAATTCACTCTGTCCTTCTAAAAGATCTTGCTAATATATATTTTCTCACACACTAGAAGTTCATTTCACAGAATCATAGGTTAGGGTTGGAAGGGGCCTTAAAGATGATCTAGTTCCAACCCCCATGCCATGGACAGGGACACCTTCCTCTAGACCAGGTTGCTGAAAACCCCATCCAACCTGGCCCCAAACACTGCCAGGGATGGGGCAGCCACAGCTTCTCTGGGCAACCTGTGCCAGGGCCTCACCACCCTCACAGTACTTCACTGTTATTTAAATGTTGAATTTCTAGCAAACATGTACATTACATACAGGCAAGAAAATCATGTGCAATTTATTTTCTCTCTCACTTTAAGGGTCTTTCCTAAAGCTATTCAAGCACTTTATAGCATAAACTGGAATAAATTTTCTATAGCAGAGAGTCAGCAACAAAATGTAGGTCACAGAAAAGCACAGAACAAAATAACAAAAAGCAAGGAAGCAAAAAGCCTACTTATTTTTTAAAGTTTATGGTTCTTTACCACACCTCATATAACTCAATATACATTATACTCTATAGAAATTAAGCACTTACAAAGCAGCAATAAAGAACATTTCTATCTATAGGTTTAAGTGATATTTTGAAATAATTATAGGAAATATTTAACTGCTCTTTAACAGTTTAATTAAAGAACAGTGAAAGATGAAATGGATATCATGACAAATCCACAATAGTCTTACCATGTGAGTGCTGGTTGTCATTAGCTGAGGATAGGAAGAGAAGCAAGTAGCAAAAAGAAAAAAAAGCACACAAATAAAATAGACCAAAATATCAATGGGTAAAATAAATAAAATGCAAAAGTTCTTAAAATCTGCATTCATGTGACTGCAAAGCAAGTAGAGATAAGATTATTTTAAGCTGCCATATGTCAAAAATCATTAAAATATTAAAAAGCTTGTTATATTTAAGCTCCTTTATGATCATTTATAACTACTCTACCAAGAGCCTTTTGATATGTTAATCAGATATTCAGTAAATGCATGTTAAGCATAAAACTTAAAAGTTACTATGTGAATTCTGAAGGAATAGTTGGAATTTATGACACATATCTCTGTTGTATATAGTCCTATGCCTATTTACTGATACACAGCATAGCCTATCGCATAGTTCAGACTTTGCTAAACAGATGACCCATCTATCTCACCATGACTCATAAAAGTTACCTGTGCTGGAAACATCGAAGAAAACAATTAAATCTATGTTCATAGCACCATCAACATTAAAAAAATTACCTTTGATTGATTGATCAAACCCAACACTAACCTGTCCATTGCTGGTCACAACTGTGTTGTCATACAATAAATAGGCACCAAAGAAAAATACCACAGCATCAAACACTCCTAGGAATGTCCAATAAATAAATGCACGCCAGCGCAGCAAAGCATTCTTGGCAACATCTCTGTGTAAATAAGATATACACATTCATTATCAGCATGCTCAAAAATCCCAGACAAAAGATGTCACTCACTGTTTTTTGAAGGAAAAATCAATTAAGAATTGCATATAAACCCACCACATTTCCATGTGACAACTGTCTACCACTTCACATCCAAATCCTTTTTGAATGTCTCCTCTTTATTATTATTTTTAATTTAATTTTTCTAAGCCCTTTTAACTGTTGCCTGTAATTCTACTTATTTCAAGTGTGTGGTAAATTCCTCTGTGCTGCCCCCATTTATTTTTCAATCTTTTTACAGAAGGTTTCTGTTTTCCAATACTTGCTGTGCATGTGATGATCCACTGTAGATTTTAAATGGAGACACTAGAGGTCTCTGGAGACTTTGCTTTATTTCCTATGGGGTGCTTTTACAGAGAATATTGTAACGAAATATTCATTTTATGTGGAACATGTGAAACAAGGATTTTGAAGTTGAGTTGAAGCTTCAGGTCAAATGGTATTTCTTGAATGTTTTCCCACATAAAACAAAAATGCAGGGATTGGGCTGCAATAGAACTGTCCACTAGTGTGCACCTTCTAATTACAAAAGAAATTTAAATATTAAAACCTTAATTCCTGCACACAGAATGAGTATATATCAATTTGGTATGTATCATAAAATACATCAGAGTAAATCAGAACACAGTTAAGTGAAAACCCTGAATTACAGACACATTTATTACCAACCAATACTTTCACCACAGGCACTTTAAAGACTGATGACCATATGAAGTACTTCATCCCTGCAGATTGCCAACAATCTGTACAAAACTGTATTTGGCCAACAACAGCCTCATCTAGCCAGAACAACTGCACTATTGCCCAAAACAGCTTAGCAATAAACTGTTAAAATATCAAAACCCCAACGTTTCTGACCAAATAACCTCCACCAGCTTTTAAAAAACAGAAAGGTCTTATGAATGACCATTTCAAAACTGAAAACATTTAAAATATAGAAGAGAAAATAAAAAGGGATCAACAATAAGAACTTGTATTCCTCTTCAATTTCACAGTTAAAAACTTATCACTGCATTGATTAAATTGATTAACCTTTAAGTATCTAGTATTACCTCTCTCAAAAAATGTTTTCCCTTCAATTATCTACTGTTGCCACTATCTGAAACGTACTGGTTTTGCGGCTGGGCATTGTTCGTAATTTAAATGGCTACATGCAGTTACATGGCAAGAAAAGTATTTCAAGTGGCTAAGAATCTAAACCTGTCACAACTTCAATGCCCAGAAGTGTGTCAACAATATGCAGAGGACAATGTTGGACAATGCACAGAATTCTATCACTCAGTCCTCTTTTCTTTCAGAATAAAGCATGTATATAGAAGAAATGGTATGCTTTCTCTTTTTAAAATATTGTTCCCCATGGCCAGAAGAAAAACAGAGCACTAAACCACATGTGTCTATTGTAGTTTATAGACTGTACATATGGTCTTCAACCTTTCTGTTGCACTTTATCTGGTGTTCTACTCCAACATTGTGGTACAGAAATCCTGAGGACTTCCATTACAAGAGAGATAGATCTCACAATTGAATAATATACTTTGGGGCATAATGTATGATTTTTACCTGTATAGGGAAGGCTCTCTCTTGAGTGTGTCTGCACTGACATGCTGTTCCATTAGACCGTAAAAGAGGATAGGAAGGGAAGTGAAGCTGATATTGTACAGTGTTAGATACGCAGTATCGTATAAAGTCTGTAGATGGAAAAGAATTAAATGGGCTAGTTTTAATTTTAAAACACAATCCAATGCATGGCACTTGATTTAAAATGAGTCAACTTTTTTAAAAAAAGTAAAATGTATCCCTTCAGAATGGAGGCAAATATTCCTGGACAGCTAAAAGCCAAGAGAAAATTATGCATTTGTACCCTATTCATCTGGAGGACAAAAGGTCAACTAAAAGATTGGTTTAATAGTCTCATCCATGTATCAGCCCCTCCTATTGTTTCAACTGTAAGACACTCCACAAATTTAAAGCAACAATAGTATCTTCTCCCAATTAAATCCTCCTCTTGTCCAATTTAATCCTGAAAACTTAATCCTCTTGTCTAAGACTGGTCCTTCATTCCTTTGGGGTTTGCTCTGTCATTCAGAAGGAAAAGACAGATTTTTCCACACAAATTAGATGGGAGCAAGGAGGGAAAAAAGTAAATAAAATTTAGAAAGGAAAATACTGGATCCTCCTTTCTACACGCTTCTGGTGAGCAGCAGTTCACTTTTCCTCTATCTTTCTATGTGGTGTGGTTTTTTTTCTTTTCAACTAATTGAATGCCACTATTTGTCTGATTTTTGCAATTCATACCTGTACATGCTAGAAAAGACAAGTTTATTCTTCCATTTTCATTCTGAATGCTAAAAATGAACTAGTTCAATTACTTATCTTTCAGGATTGCCTCTGTCCATTTTCAATAAGCTTAAACCTGAGACACTACATTTCCCACAGACATTTCACTTTGCACAGCCAGTTCCAAATTTTGGTTTCCTGTATTCTTTGACTTTGAAAATAACACTGCTTCAATGATAATTCATAAAATTGGTTTCTGAAACTTAACTGCAATTGCCCCTGAAAATTATATGAACCAAAAGTGGCGCTGCTACTTTTACAATGTGTAAAGTAACCTAGAAATTTTGTCAGATGAACAGGTACAGTGTTAAATAATCTTTTTTTTTGAGGGGGAAAGAAAAAAAAAAAGGAAAAAAAAAAGGAGGGGAAAAAAAAAAGAAAATGTGGCAATGAGGGGAAACTCAACTAACCTGTTGTGAAAACCCACAGAAGAACTGATATAAAAACTGAGGAAAAATGAAGCAGACATTCTGAAAGACAAAGTGACACAGTCATCAAGTGGAATACAAGCAGTAATTTATATGCTGTACAATGCTATATAGCTATGTATAGCATAGTTTTATAACATTAGTAATAGTAAATATTGCAGGAACAGCACAGAGAGAGCTGCATACAGTAAATACCAACATTCTCATCTTCCAGTAGTACTATTAAGAAAAATACTTAACATATTTTGAAAGCAAACGTAAGGCTACAGTTTCAAACTTCAAGGGCAATGCATTTTGCAACCCAGGAGCACAGCTCAGTGCAAGCCAAATAAGGGACAAATAAGGGACAATGCACAGTAGGACACAAACTGTGGTAAGCAAGCACGGATACCGTGGTTAGCATGTTTCCCAGCAAAGTAATTCTGAGATGTTTCTAACTAGGACCTCAAACATCATTGTTTCCTAACTATACATATGGTCAAACACCAAGACCTTGAATTATCTTCTGAAGGTTCCTATTGTCTTTCATCATTTCCCATCATTTAGACATGACAACTTGTCCAAACAGGAGGATGCACATGATAAACTACCCTGATGAAAAGAGAAACTAATGTACATCGAGCTAAGCCAAGTTCTCAAATACTATTTCCAACTTAATTTAAAAGGCCACTCTAGAGAGAACCCAGAAGGTACTGAAAATAAGCAGAACAGTCTGTGACAGAATTTGTAAGAATTCTTTTTTTTTACATGCAATTATTGGGGTTTTGTACCACTGACAGCACAAAGCGTATATAGATATTACCATGTAAGTTTGAGATTTATGTAACTAGAATAAGCATTCTCCTACCTTATAAAAGAAGTATTGCACAAGTTCAGATATCCTAACATAATAAAAATGCCCATGAACAAGCAACATTTTTTTCAAATGTTTAAATTTAGGTATTGCATAGTCACTGTTTCTTGCTGCTTGACGACCTTCTTTGCCAATGATTCCTTTAAAAAAAAAAAGTGATGAAGCTGTTTAATAACTGAAGAACTATTTCAAAGATACACTTATTTGGAAAATGATACAATAATGCTATGACATTCATCTAGTAAGAGATCACCATGGTAGTTACTGGGGGTAAATTCAATGAAAGTTGTCTACAAAATGTATAACCTGATTCTTTGAGACTGCCTGTTTTTAAGAAGTAAATGCTTTTGTCACTTCACTTGAATTAATATTATAAAAAGTACACTTACCTATGCCAACATGTGCTTCTAGAATCATACTGACGTCATTTGCTCCATCACCAATTGCTAATGTGATAGGATGCTCCTTTGATAACTTAATCAATTTCACAATCTGGAAAAAAACAGTGTTAAAAACTCTCCTCTGTTATGGTTTGCTTATTTTGCATGAGCTTACAAGTAATAAAAAATGACCAACGCAGTTACGTAAGAAATTCTGTGAAGGGACATAAAACCAATATTACCCAATGCAACTACTATAAAGATCACAGTAGTTTCTTCGTATTAGAAGTATTTGTTCCAAATGTAAAATTACATTTTTCAAATACTTCCAAACTATTAAGAGAGACAGACAGTAGGAAGGAAGAGCAGAAGAAAGGAAGATGATCAGGTTGCTTAATGCAGTGTAAGCACATTAATAAATTCAGAGGGTTCCAGAGACAGAGCATACGATTTCAAAGAAATTCTGAAATAAAGACTGATTCTGCTTTTTTAACTGTGCTGATGTTGTTTTCTTACTATTTAAGAAAAGATAAGAAGACTCTCAATATATCTAAATACTACTGATACAGAAACTGTCCAAAAATTTGACCTCAAATGCCTCCATTGTAAATGTTCACCTCTGTCCATTTGGTGCTGAGTCAGCTCCAACTGAAAACTTCTACAGACTTCCAGACAGTTAAAAGTGCTGGCTAAATACATGTGTTAAAATGAAAAAAGGCTATATATACTGTACCTAAGCACTTAAAAAGAGACGTGACAGTGTGAATGATAAAAAAGTGTATATTCCAATGTTTCTTTCCTTTAAAAGTTCTTCAAGTATATTGAGAAGTTTCAGCAATCGAAGCATATGTTTTTACTTGATACAAACTAGCATACAACAATCAAGAAGTACTTAAAAATGATAATGCGCACATTTTTCTGTCTGGATTCTTTTTTCTTAGCTTTCCACTTACATTAAAAATAAAGAAGTATCACTCTACAGTAATAATGCAGGTTCTTGTAGTATCGACAGGTAGTAGACTATTCAAAGCTTGTTAGGTTCAAAAGGAAGCAATTAGTTTGGTTCATTAAATATGTTCATTATCAGTATGTTCCAACCATAAAATTTGCACAACATGTACATAAATCAAATTCAGGTGCACAGCTGGCTGCCATTTTAGCATACCATTATCTAAACTGCTTGCCAGGAGAAATTCGCCCCTCTCCTGTTTTGGGTTTTTTTTTCGCCTTTTCCATTTTAGAAAATACAAAAGTGAATGGTAACATTTTCAGTTATCAGGATAAGGTATACCAAGCATTAACTTTCAGTATTTACATATGTGCACAGCTAACAAGCAATTACAAAATGAAATACAAACCTGTGCTTTTTGCAGAGGTGCCATTCGACAGCATAACACTGCACTGCAGTTCCTGCAAATCTCAAGAAAGAGCTCTCTGTAGTTACCAGAGCTCCCATCTTGTCTTGGTTTCATTATTAATGATAATGCTGCTCCATCAATAATTAAACCATAATCTTGCATATCAGTTGAAAGTCTGTTCAGGGATAGAATATAAACTAAGAGTCACTGTAAAATTCTCAGACACATTTAAAATTCAGCAATAGTGCTTTCGTGAAAATTAATTACTTCAAAAATAATGACTATGGAATACTGCAAAATTAATATACTTCTAAAGGAAATTCCTGCTATTTATGACATACTAAAATTCTAGATTATGTTGAAAATATTCAGTGCTTCACCAGTTCAAAGACAGAAACCTGATACCTCAGTGACTTCACCAGTGAGTATGAGTGTATATGTCATTCAAGTTCCATTTGAAAGGGCTCTGAGAACTACAGTGAGGTAAAGTGACTTGCAGGAATAAAGTTATTTTTGTGGCACATTCCATAACAGAGACAAAAAAAAGTTGAAGGGAAAGGCCTTTGACACTCTGAAATCTACTTTGACGAGGAAAATCAAATTTTCTTCTTCCCCCTCCGAGGGAAAAGGAAGTAAACCATGCTCTGAAGGAAATGCCAAAAAAAGATTTGTTGGCCTGGAGAGACATGGTCCCTGCCTACCTTTAGAGTATCTATCCTTTGCATTTAGTGTGGTGGCTAAGTCTGATACATGTATACCTGTAATTATATTCTTAAAATATAGTAATTACATATGTTACCTATAATATTACACTATGTTATTATCTATGTTAATCTATAACCGGTATACCTGTAATAATTTGGGCATTGCTAGAAGTATAACCATGGTGGCATGAAGCACGGTCTACCACAACAACGTATGCCAAACAAATGAGGGAAGATGGTCCACGCTATGAAAGCAGTATTTTTGTAGCATCCAAACTAGTTATTTCAAAGCACCCTTGCATTTGCCTTCATTACAGAGTTAAAGCAGTACTGGAAATGAGCTAAAGCACCATGCGGGTGAAAACTTAAACTCATGTGGAACAAACTTATACTTAATTGCCATACAGTAATTCACACTTTTAACAACAAAAACCTGAAAAATAGCACTTAAGGCAATTGATCAATCAATTAATCAATGCTTTGTTTATGAAATGCACAGAAGGCTATTACTGGCTTGAAAATTCAACTTTTTCCTTACCCTGAGAAAGTATCCCTGGTTAAGCTGCCACTGTGTCTTAGAACAGTTTTGCTTAGGTCAAAAAGCACATCGTGTAAACTCTGTTCCTCAATTTTCTTTGTGGTTAGCTCAAGTATTTGTGTATTTCTCCGGAAGAGTTTGCAAGCATAGCAAGTAGCTGCAGCAGTCTCCATTTTGTCTCCTGTCAGAACCCAAACTTTAATTCCAGCTTTCTGAAGTGCTTCAATAGTATCAGCAGCTTTTTCCTGTAGTCTGTGGAAGTCAATTGACAACACAGATTGATAGATTGCTTGAAAATGAGAAGTTCAGAGATCCTTATTGAAAGGCTTCCATAACCAAATAAAAAAAAAAATTCAATAAAAGTTATCAGATCTAAGAATTTTCCCTGAGGTGTGAATATAAAATGTTTAGGGGAGTAGTACATTATATCTAACTAGTTTTGAGAGTTTCAAAGTGCTCAAGGTTACCTTTCATTCATACAGCCTAAAAGATGCTTCAATTCTTCAGACTAGTCCTTCAATTAAAATATTTTCAGCACTTTCAGCTGACGACACCAAACAGCACTGCTATTATGAAGTTACAGAAGTACTGCTCAGTTAAAGTTACCTCCTAGTTTTAATAGTTTTCCTTTTTTGAAGGCCTAAAGGTTCTTCCTTCATTTCCTCAATACCCATTTTTTAGCTCTTTCCCCCAAAACTTTTCACTACAATTTGTTTAATAACGTATTACATGAACTGCATGTAAACGGCTTGAATATACTGATTTTTGTACACTTAACTATTGTTACTAGACTACTAAATTATAAAGTTATCATGTGTAACTTTAGTAAGCTAAAGGTATGGAATTGACTCAAATGGAGGTTTTTGGTTTTGGTTTTGTTTTTTTTTCCCAAATAAATCTCTAATCCAGAAAGAGTTACAAGAAAGTCTTCAACTACCTTGGTACCATTACTAAACATAAGAAACTAAGAAATGCACTAACCGATCTTCAACAGCTGTGGCACCAAGTAAAATAAAATCTCTTTCTATCTTCTCATACACTTCTGCCAATTTCTTTTCTCGGTCCTGGAGGGCCAACTTTGCATTCTGAAGCAGCTTCTGTACTTTGCTATATTCCTCTGCTGTGAGCTCTTTATATGCAACACACAGTGTTCGCAGTCCCTCCTAAAGAATATAATCAAAAGAAACAAAGCGCATCTCAGAAAACTCTTCTTAGACTTCCTGCTGGTGTTTATGCCGGAATATTTGAAAAAACCTCTATAATTTTACTACTAACATGAAGAGTCCCACTACTCACTTTATCAGGGATTGTAGTGGTGGGACAAGGGGTAATGGGCTCAAACTTAAACAGGGAAAGTTCAGGTTAGATATAAGGAAGAAGTTCTTTACAGTGAGAATGATGAGGCACTGGAATGGGTTGCCCAAAAAAAGTGCTTCATCACTGGCAGTTCAAGGCCAGGCTGGACATAGCCTTAGGTGACATGGCCTAGGCTAAGGTGTCCCTGCCCATGGCAGGGGGGTTGGAACTAGATGATCTTAAGGTCTTTTCCAACCCTAACCATTCTATGATTCTATAGTGAAGTGAGTATAGCATATACTAATATACTATAGACTAGAACACAAGTCAGCTTGATTCTGTGTTGCCCTGAACTCAGTTAAAACCCGAGGGACAAAACTCAATTTTCCAGAAGAGAAACAGCTCAGTAACCCAACTGGATGTGTGAGATTAGTAGGGAAATGAGAGTCAGGGTAAAGGTTTCCCTCCTTACATGTATAATTAAGCAGGATGAATCAGAATAAATAACAGTAATGTAAATGGTAGCTCCACAGAGTGATTTTGAGACAGGGACAAAAACAGAGTGCTGAAAGTGAAAATTAAACTATGCATTTTCAGTGAAGTGAAAACAGAATTTAGCTGTGGGTATTTGAGACATAATCAGACTTTTGGAGTGTGTAATGAATAAGAAAAATTATATAGACTGTGTTAAAAAAAAGCGGCTTTAACACAAGTTTTGCCACCTCAAATATATTCTCACACCATGGCACTTTATCTCCATTAGCTTTAATCCAGTAGGTCTTTGTATAGTTACTTATTACCAATCCTAGAAGAAGTAGTATTAAAATAGCTCCCTGGCTTTTGCTGCTGATAAGGGTAGGTGCCAGGTGACTGCCTCTATCTTCTTTCAGAGGCTTCTATACGTAGAAGCCAGCGCTATTTCCAATTATCCAGGATGAAGAAAAGTCTGCTAGTAGAGACATTGTATGGATATGATCCATACATAAAATATTCCTTTAGTTTCATTAAGCCTCCTTCAGTTGTAATTATCAAACAGCTGTATTTTACAGTAAAGCTTAGCAAAGTACTTTGACAAAGAATTTCGATGTTTCGCTTCAAAAAAAGGCAGCTAACACTGTAGGTATTTTTTCACATACCTGTAAAAAATACTTAGTTTTCAGTTCAAGTACTAGCTGCCAGCAAATTTTACCCTATTTATAAGACTATCAGTCATATTCCATTGCAGAGGGTTCTGCACATTTTTTGACACAGCAAAAGTCAGTATTTTTCAATTCCAAATACTACTTTTAGGTAAAACCAAGTTCCGAATTTCTTACAAGGGTGATTAGGCCATTCATAGCTCATTTTTAGCAAGCAAAAATATAAGGATGATCACTACGCTGTTTCCCCATAAGCAGCACATTTGTTGCTACACTGTGCTGTAATAGATTTTCCCTTTTAAGAGCTTGTAAAACAATAAAAGGCAGCAAATCACAATTGCTAAGGCTGGGGACTGAAAGTAGAAATTAAACTTTCAGTGAAGATTTTCACTTTTCTTTCACTCAAATGTTAATTCAAACCACTACAGTTGTGAAAATGCCATACTAAAAAACTAGTTGATCACTTCTGATATAACACACAGTTGTGCATATCTATGCATTCTTACCTCACCACAACTGCCTTATGGAAGATGAGATGGAGGAGAGATTCAAATAAAAGAGTAACACAGACTGCTACCTGTACAGCCTTTGTGCACTTTGGCATAGAATAACCTCAGTGCCTGGGATGACAAATCTGTTACCTGATCAAGCAGGAGATCAGAACACTATTTTTTTTTTCACCCACTGATATCATATGAACAGATCAATAAAATGGAATCTTACCACTGCATTGCGTTCAACTCTGGATCGTATTTGGTCAATTTTGCCTTCTTTAACTCTAGGAAATATGGAAGAATCTGCTCCCTTACAAAACAGAAATATATGACCTGAAAGAGACAGCATATGGAATTCAAAATGGGCAAATGTATCTTTCTTCAAAAAATCACGCAAATTACTAAGCCTTCAAAAACGTTTCTTCCAAATTATATAGCATTTCCAGTTATGCTGGCACCTAGTCCCCTTTTTTATAAAGAAATTAATGCTTAACTCTTTGATAAACCTCAATAAACTCAAGTCAGACAAAAACATCTCAGAAGAAACAGAATGTGACAGCCCCACCTGTTGAAGATCTAACAATGACACTCATCCGCCGTCTCACAGAATCAAAACTCAAAACCTCTAATAATTCAAACCTGGAACAGAAACAGAATTATTTTTTAAACAACTCTGCTTTTCCAGATCCCTAAACTGGCTGTTACAACTTCAAGTGTATCTATCAAAACATTAATTCTAACATGGAAAATTATATTAAGTACTATGGAATGTGAACTACCACAGCATTGAACAGCAGGTTACAAATAAGAAATAGAGGAGGCCCTTAGCTTCTAATTACTTGAAACAGAATTTGTCTGCATGATGTACATAAGCATCTTTAGATGTATAGTCAATATAAATTATTTGTAAGACTAGAAACCTTGCAGTAGGGCTCTATACTGCTTATAAAGTAAGTAAATTCCTATGTATAATACCTAGGGATAGCCTTAGAACTTGAAATGCATCAGTGTTTACAAAGAAGTCTTTATTTGATATTTTTCTAATTTTGACTATTCCTATTTCCCCAAAAAGCCCACATTATTCCATAAATCTTGCTCAAGTGTTGGCTGACAAGTTATTAAACTGAAAAAATGTTTCTTTTTACTGGTTTTATATTTGCTCTTGTTTTTTACAATTTCATTTTATCCCATTTCCTTTCTGTTCTAGGAGGAAAGTATTGTGTACAGTTCTGGTGTCCTCAACATAAAAAGGACATGGAGCTGCTGGAGCAAGTCCAGAGGAGGGCCACGAGGATCATAAGAGGACTGGAGCACCTTCCTTATGAAGATAGGCTGAGAAAGTTGGGGCTGTTCAGCCCCGAGAAGAGAAGGCTGCGTGGAGACCTCATAGCAGCCTTCCCATATCTGAAGGGGGCCTAACATATCTGAAGGGGGCCTACAAGGATGCTGGGGAGGGACTCTTCATTAGGGACTCTAGTGGTAGGACAAGGGGTAATGGCTTTAAACTTAAACAGGGGAACTTTAGGTTAGATATAAGGAAGAAGTTCTTTCCAGTGAGGGTGATGAGGCACTGGAATGGGTTGCCCAAGGAAGTTGTGAATGCTCCAACCCTGGCGGTGTTCAAGGCCAGGCTGGACAGAGCCTTGGGCGACATAGTTTAGTGTGTGGTGTCCCTGCTTATGGCAGGGGGGTTGGAACTAGATGATCTTAAGGTCCTTTCCAGCCCTAACTATTCTATGATTCTATGAAAAATGAACACCAGCTCCTGTTGTACTGTTTCTGTATCATTCATCAGTTAACATACTTTTATCATTTACCACCTTACCTATTTCTTTTTATATAAAAGAGCATCCCAAACAATCCCAATCTCTTCAGGATTCATCTCTGCTATTACTTTGCTTATAAAACAGATCTGCTTGTTTAATTAGGTCATTCAGTTCTAAGTCCTTACAATCGTTTGGGATTCAAACCTGTACAAGACCACAGTGCTTTGTTCATTAAGAAGTTACAACAGATTCTAACAAGGCGTTAGATCAGGGCTATTATCTACAAACCATGATGCATTTTGGAAAAGATTCGTAATAATTATAGTACTTTCATAAGCCATCAAATGATACTGACTCCAGTTCTTTTGAGCTGAGCCATAGAAGTCTGAAATAACTTTCAGGAAAAATCCTCCATATTCCCCTAAAAGGAGGAAAAAATGCCAGCAGGGTTCCTATATTTGTGTCCAAGAATCCCTGTGTAGTTAGCAGAGTGCACATGCAGGAAGACTCAGATATATGATAGACTTAACCAGTAGACATCTACAGAAGTGGAAAGTAATTTTCAAGTATGCACACCCCACTGAACAGCTCTACTACTAAAATGTTACTGAAAATTTTACTCATATTACAGACAACAAAATTTATTCTGTGTGTCAAAAGAAAATAACAAAAAAACAGTACCTGTTTTAAATTTTATTTGAACCGGCTATAAAAATTTATGCTACAGATACTACCTTCCTGTAAATACAGATTATTTGCGAACAACAAACTGGGTACACACCATTTTCTATTAAGAAATTATTACTCACCATGTAACAAAGGGAAAGTAACCTAACCATAGTTCCTAAAACTATCAGTAAGTATCAGATTAGGTAATGAATCCCACACCACACTTTTGTTGTCATATTAGTATTTTGTATTGCATATACTGTCAAGCTAACAGATTAAGTGAAAAAATAGAACTTTTCTACCAAAATATGCAATTTCTGAACTTTTCTCAATTAAAAATTAATGTATATGGAAAGAATTATTTAAACACATCAATAAAAACTCCTCAATGAAATATCCTCGGTCTGTTTTGTTATATTTTTAACCACTCACTTCTCTATGTTATTTTCCCGATTTACAATCTCCATAAAATTGTCCTTCAGCCTTAGATAGGTGTAACCAAGTCTGTGAAATGAAACACACATCAAGAGAATGAATACAACAAATATATAATTATCCAGTTTAAGCATGTCATAAGGATTTCTCTTGAGGGTAGGAAGGGGGAATAGATGACCAAAACATGCCCCCATCAAACTACAAAACCAAAAAACCCCACGCACGAACTGGTTTTATTTGATTTATGAATATGAGTAATCATGACTGAATGTTAAGAAAATCATCGGCTGTGCTGACTTGGTGTTTCTTATTACAATTTTTGTGCTTAAACCAATTTTGAACTTCAGTGATTAGATCCATGAATTAAAAGATTATAATATCTAATTATACACATACCTCTGTATTCCCTCAACGAGAGCAACTTCATCTGGTGATGACGATATATATATGCAAGATCTTCTTGAGAGCTGGCTTTTCTTCAATCCATCTACACTGTCATCATCTTTCACCTGAACAGTGTGGCAGAGACAAAGAGCTCGGAAAAACAGTTCCTCTCTCTCCTGAAAAACAAAAGGAATAGTTGCTGTTATGTGTTACCACTTTCACGCATTGCTTTGATTACCTTCCGAAGGAAGGTCCCTAATTACTACTGTTTCTATCAGATAAAGGCAGTGTCACAGGTCACCCTAAAGGGGGAGCCAAGTCTCTCCCAGTGGTAACCACACAACTGCTCAACAGCTGCTAGTGCTACTAGCATTGCCATGCAAGCCAAGCTGCTGATGCCCAAGAGTGTAGATCTTTTGCTTCACGCGTCCTAGATGTGGCTAAAGGGTTTTTAACTTTACTTTTACTTAAACTTTGAACAAATAGTTCGATCATATACTAGGTCAATCATATACTAGTCGAGGTACAATTTTAAAAGTCCTGAGTCCAGATGGACGCAGCACCTGGAGCACAAGTCTTAACAGGGTTTACAGATTTTAGTTCATTAGGCAGCTTGAATATCTTTAAAAGCTATATAAAACATAGGAGTGTGGACATTTTGGCAGCTGGAGCAAACAATTTGTATGAAGTCTCAGATGGTTTGGTAATGACAGCTTTCTGACATCAGAAAAAGATTTCTATTTCATGGGTACCTGACTGTATTTTACTTGTCACTTCGTGTCCAAATCTTACTCTTCTGTGCTGTTCAATACAAACTGACTGTGTTATTAGAATTCCAAGATAAAAACACAGCATACCTTGGCACCCCATTCTGAGGGCCATGGGTGAGAGCCATAAGGCTGCTGAATTACAACATATTTTAAGAGGCCTTGTTTTGCCATAGTGAAGGGTACGGCCAAACTATGATTGGAGACTGTACTGATATATTTAAAAATATGTTGACTGTCCTTTGGCTATGATTATCCTGCCCATTTACAACCTGCTCATCAGTTGACATGTGAGATCTCCTTAACTTTTGCCTAACTTTGCTTTAAACAACAAGAAAGCAGCAGCAGGTACACACTGTGTATAACACATTTCAGTTTTGGATATATTAAGTCACATTTAAAAGTAATTTAATTTGATCATAAACCATTCTCTGGCCACATCTTCACTCAGTGATGACTGTTTGCCTTGAACACTCATTTTCACCCTTGAGGAGTTTCCTGCCTTGCTCTCCTTATTACAGCTAATGTTAAATGTAAACCAGCTATTACATTTCTTTAGCTACTAAACAAAGACAGTTCTGTATTTTGGGGGTTTATTTAATTCAGTATTACAGCTGCAGTAAGTTGGGAAACCTCCCATTAAGTCTTCAAATCTTTGTCTAAACTGGGAAATGAAAATGTCTGTGTTGTGATGCATCTCTTGCAATTATCTTTGATTAGTGTAATTCAAGAATGTTATATTTCTAATATTCCCTTCACATCAGCACAGTTCAACTTTCATGTTTCATTAGAAAAACCAGGAACAAGTCACAATACCTTTCCACTTCCTCCTGGAGAAGAATCAATCATATCAATGCCTGTACAATCGTGGAGAATCTGGCCATTGCAGATAACATGTGGCACATAAACGTGCCCTTCAATGCAACATTCAACAAATTCCATGTTGTTCTCAGTTAATGTTCCTGTTTTATCTGTGAAGACATACTCAATCTGCAAATAAGCACAAATTAAAAACAGCATAAAAATATGAACAGAGATTTTCCAGCATCTCTTAACAAAACTTAAGACTGTTACTGGGTTACACCTTCCTTTAAAGATCCTTATGCAGGCTCTTTTGGAAAAAAACAGACAATTTCTTTTGGGAGTCATCTTGCACAGAAATGTGGGCCTGGAAAGATTTTATCACACAAGACTTTCAGCAAAGCTATCTTCTGCCTCGTAACACATATAAATAATGTGTTTAACCTACTTTCTCTCTTCTCTCAAGCTCCTTTTTTTTTTTTAATTGTTTTCTTGCTCCAAGACAGATTTATGGAAACAATATGCACACGAATTCAATTCCCCAAGGATCATTATTTAATGTACATGCCTGGATTTGGATCGGTTTCTGTCAGAACGGTCCTTCGGGTAGTATTAGAATTCCCCACTACAATTACATGAGTTTAAGTGAGGATTCTGGACTAATGGCCATATGCAGTTCTATACCTGGGCAATGTTACTGCCCTGGAAATATTCCTTTTGTATCAATATTGACTTTTTAATATTTCAAGCTGAAAAAATAAACCCTAACAATTTTAAAATAAAAACTTACAGTAGAAAAGGCTGAAAAAACCTTATGATTTGTTGATATTTACCTGTCCCAACTCTTCATTGAGGTCAGAAGTATTCACCAGTGGTCCTTCACCTGTGTCCTCATCAAACATTTCCTCGTCCCATGTAAGGAAGTAAGAACCAAGAAATTTCTGCATTTCCACAGTGACATACATAGATACAGGAATAATGTAGTTGAAAAGAACCATGAATGCAAGGAAATCTGTAAAAGCTCGAAGAAACTGCCAAAGCAACAAGATGAAAACATTGATTTTTCAGATACCATCAAAGCCCAAAAGATGACTACATACATTTGCAGATTACTTTTTTTCTATAAACATTCAAACAGTAAGCAACACCTTTCACAGCTCACAGTTCAACACAAATGTATACCTTCATGATATATAACATCACAACTAATACGGCATAAAGAAAAAAAACTTTTTAAATTTTGCATTTTTCTTTACAGGTGTAGAGTACAGTTAGACATCATTGTTGCAAATTCTAGAGCAACTTATGAGAGTGGTGAACACCTGTATGAGAACAAGGAAAATGGTAAAATGTACATTCACAAATTACCAGAAAAGTAACATAAACCTGCAGCAACTCATTCAAGGGTTACCAATTATATAACTTTCAGGCAGCATTTAATTAATAAATAAAGGGTTTCCCTTCCTTCTCTCAACACAAGTAAAATGTGTGCATATAACCTGGCTCAGTTGTTTCAGGGGTGGAGACTTGTGGAGGCATAGTCAACCTGCTAAGCAGGCTGAGATGGTGCTACTGGTGGTAATGAGAAATCCAGAACATACCTGGCTAGTGTGTACCCATCAAGCCTTTAGGTTAACCAAGAAAATTCTCCCCTAGACTAACTGGAAGGATATCAGTGAAATAATATTGTGCTTCCTGTAATGCTGGGCTCAGCTCATTACTTTGGATCATGCGGGTGTCCATTCTGGACTATGTCCTTGCTCCGGTAGGGTCATCGGACACTGGCAACACTCTTCTGCGTCTCTAGTGCTCATGACTAAGTTACAGAGCTATATGAAACTAAGCTTTTAAGGGGTACTGTTACAGAGATTCCCACAGCGGGTTCTTTTGAACACATCTGTTACATGATTGCCAACAGTTGTCAGATACCTTTCAGTCCTATATTTGTCTGCAAGAGGTCAGTTCTTATATTAAACCAGGCATTTTCTCATCAGTTAAATTCATACATACAACTTAAGCGCAAAAATTTAATATACGATCTTTCTACAAATACACTATCATCACTGCTAGCAAACAAAAGCAACATTTTATGATGGGTAAGTAAGCAGGCTGTATACACTTTTCAGTAGGATTCTTACACATTACAGGTTTAGTAAAACATTTTTGGTATTTAAATGTATTTCCATACCAAATTTCTTTTCCTTTCTGGCTCTGTTTTTTGATTATACCATGGCTCATCACGAAATGGTTCACTCTGCCAGACATACTTCAGGACAGTATTTATCAGTGCTTTACTGATGAGGATACAGAGGTATACAATAAGGAATACATTCATTGATCTAGGGGAGGAGGGGGAAAAAAGAAAAAGTGAGAATTCCATTAGCGTATAAACTACAGTTTTATATTAAAAGATGTTATACTTGTGCTTCAGCCTAACACTTGCTGCAAGTGATGTTATGTAACTTTTCTACAGCATTTTCCCAACACAGAAAAATATTACTGAGGATCATTTTCTATTCAAAATGTACACTGTTGTAATTGTTTTCCAAAATGTGTCTGACACCTTACCAAACCTAGTACATTAGTGAAAACAATAGCATTGATGGAAACATAACAGAATAACCAGACATGTATCTGCAGACCTTTTTATGCCATTTGTCTGAAGTGATATAAAAACACTCACATAAGCACTTTCATAGAATATAAATCTCCTGAGAACATTTTGCTGTGTGGCTGTAATGGTTTAACTCTTTCTAGACAGATCTAAAAAAAGAAAGAGCAAGAACACTTCACATTTAAAATTATATTTTTATTGATAATGGGCATGAACTAGAAGCCATGGATTATACATCAATAACAACAGAAAGAGACATATCATCAATGCTTGGTCACTGTGTAAGAGAAGGGCTGTCAGCTAGTGAGTACATCTTGCCTTAATCAACATCTTTATTTTCTTACGAGGCTGGACACCTTACTCAGAACTGATGATTTCAGATAGCAGAGTTGGACTGAAGAATACTTATCTCTTTTTAAAAAAGTAAGCAACCAATGTCAGCTCATTCCTTGAGGATAGCAGTGTCTTCCTTTCCCATCACATATGCCTGTTGGAACTTTTAATTTTAGCTAACCCCTGAAAACCCTGCCACAGACAGGCTTTGTGTTACTGAAGTTGATCCAAAGTAAAGTGCATTGAAAAAATTGTTTTTACTGAACTGAAGACAAACTGTAAGTCCCTCTACCTCTAATGAAACATACACATTTAGTAAAATTAAAAAACAAGAAAATCCCCTTTTATTCACCATCTGAACATGAAGTTTTCCACCCCCAAAATAAATATTAGAAATTTTACTTTTCTACAGCAGATCGTTTCTGTGATTTTGCCTGGTAATTTAATGCCATCTTAGTTTCCATGCCAGTGTAGATAGCAACACCTGAAATTAGACAACTTGTTTTACTAACAGTTACACAGTACAACAACTTCTTAAAAGCACAATTCACTAGATTATTATACTCCATTATTTCTTTAATTTTCTGTAGTCTGAAGAAAAAGAACAAATATCTGGATGACACTCAGAAACTAGAAATAGTTTTAATAAAGAATAACTTTAATAAAGTTCTTAGAGGGAAATTTTAAACAGCATTTACATCCCATTTCAGAGTTACAGTTCCCAATCACTAAAACGTTGCTATGTATCAAAGCCAATCCAAATCTGGGTTTTGAATAAAACACCCTGCATTTTTAAGTTCTCTTTTGTGGCTATAATTTTAGAGTCTGAGTCATATATGGTGAAAGAAAATCCAGATAGGGCTAAACTACAGGATACATCCAAGAAGAATAAAAGGCAGCCATCAATTTTGCTTGCTTCAGGAAAACTTTATAATTCATGAAAAGAGTAATCTTCTGATATTACAGATTTCCTGTTGAGAACACAGATCAACAGACTAAACCTCAGAAGACTGAATACAGCAACTAAAAAAAGCTGTAAACAAGATGATGGACTTACAGTAGTTAAGCAGGCACACCTGTACATTGCTAAATATTCAGGATATGGATTGTGCTGGAGTAACAGCAGATGCTGCATGTGTAAGGCAGACCAGAAACAACCACTCATTAGGAACATTTCTGCCCGATTACTCAAGATAACAGAAATATTAAAACCATTTTCTGAAATTTACAGAAATACTTCCTACAAACTAATTCTATTAGTTCACCTATTTTAGACTACAACTAAAAGCAGAGAGAGCAAGTTTAAACTAATACATACTTTTTGCACTCTATTTGGAGAAAAAGTTGCAAGATTTTGGTAGTTTAGGCTAAGTAGTTCATGGCTATCATTGCTTTTTCTTGGGAGTATGGAAGTCATAAATAATAAAGGATGATTTGGATCCTTGTTCCTTTTGTCCACCGATAAAGACTGTCTTGTTACAGTGGAACTACTACTCCCATTAAAAACTCTCTTGAAGAATTTAAAATATAAAAAAATAATAAAAAAAAAATCTCAGTTTATACTTCCTATTTCTGCTAAAACATGCAACATTTTCTATGGAATGAAGACAATTTGTACACCTAAAGTATACTTGCTAACAAAAAATCTAATTTTGATCAGGAACTTAAGTGGATTTACTTAACACTTGTTTAAGTGTTGTTTTTTGATCAGCCATGTTTATATCTGGTTGGGGTGTCTGTTTCAACAAACGAGCAAAACAGATATAAGAGTTTGCAACAGGCTTGTTAAATACTTCGGGACAACATCAATTCCCCCTGCCTGTTCAAAAGCTGTATATTTACGTGAAGTTGCGTCGTCTTCTTGAGTCACCTTCAGTAATCCTTAAAGACTAAACAATAAAGTCCTCCTCCCAAAAACTCTCTATAGTCATTATACATTATTAATAGTTACTTCATGGCAATTACAACAGCAGTAAACCTCATTAAAAAGTTGTAAACCAAGTGACTCAATAGAAATCATATGGTCAGTAGTAACTGTAGGGTTGCAACCTTGTTTAATGCTTGCTTATTACTTCACAGTCCATTCAAATAATCAATAGAAATATTTACCAAAGATTTTTTCTGTATTCTTTAAAGTGGCTCCTCTAAGAAGCAGATTTTCGGATCCTAATGGCCTGCAAAAGATAAGTGTTACAAAATAAAAACATTTAGAGAGAAACAGCAGACCTTAGTGGAAGCCACATAAAAGAGGAAATTAGTTTTACTCAAATATTTTTACTTTGTGTAACAAAATTCCTATGCATTTAAAGCTTTCAGTTAAAACTAAAACTACACAGAGATGCCTAAAATTAAGCTCATAATTTCACAATTCAAGTCTTAAACCAATGTATCCAAGAACCACATATGTAGGTATCTAAATAAAGACCCATGATTCTAATTGTAAGGTGCTTATTTTAAAAAACACTGATCAAGTCTTTTTTAGGCTTATATAAACTATAGTGTCACACGTTCGAATTACTTATTAAGGGCAATACATTCTTCCATTTTATTTTAAGTGTAAATAGTATATAAGGTATTGTTTGATATTTACTGAATATAGGTGAAATTTGAGAAATTGAGAAATAAGAAAATTAATGTAAGGATCCCCATGCAATTTAAAATAATACGTAATACAAATCACCATATAAGTGCAAAACCAAGGACTACTTTATAGGCAGAAAGCATGTAGAATTATCAGACTATGTATACAGTAATGGGAAAAACCCAAGAAGTTCAGTATTTTTTAATGTTTTTCAAAGTGTTCTTGTGGTACGAAAACCTTCAAAATCAAGAAACTCTAAAGACAAAAAAAAACCCCAGCCAGGCTGTAAAACCTGAAACTAGTTCCATTTAAACCAGTGGAGTGATGTTATATGAATGTCTTGGATTATAAGACATTATAACCCAATATAGTAAAAAAATACCCATTGCTCTAATAGTGCTGTCCAAGAAATACAAGTCTTAATGCCACAGACTTTCTTCTCTAGTTATATACAGATCAATCTATTGCTGTTGAGATTAGAAAGGTATTTTTTGCTTATTTTCCTGTCCTCTCCCACCCAAGTTCATTTTCAAATGTGTTAATCTTTAAAGAGAAATAAATTAAAAAAAAAAAAAAAAAACCAAAACAGTTTTCAGAGCAGACTGTGATAGAAATCACACATGTACAGACACACATGTACACCACCCACAAACTGGAGTCAAGGTATATCACCCGAGTGAGAAGCTTTCCCTCCTATTGCTTTGCCTCTTTGTAGCAAGGACCTGAACAAAATAAGGTACAGTAAGTCTCTTCCTTGCTGGTAGACAGAAGATCCTAGGCAGAAAATACAGGAAGACTCATGCCTCTTTTGACTGCTTCATTTTTTCTTCTTTATTTTGCTGGACAAGCAATGTCCTGAGCTACAGACTGCTCCTTGAGCAGCAAGCACTGCATTCCCTTCAGGATAAAGCCTATTTGAACAGGAGGCAGACCCTTCTAGATGCCAGACCCAGGGTAGCAGATCATCACGTCCTACACAACATACAAAATGAATTTCCCTGGATGACGCCTTCCCAAAGACACAGAACACTAGATGTTTTAGAAAAATGCACAAAAAACCCTACCAAAACTATACATCATGTTGGTCATGTTAAAACTCTTAAATTTCTAAGAAGAAAAAAATCAGAGAAATACACAAGTGATACTATTCATATTGTTTAGTGCACTACCAGGATCTCATGCTAATGGAGCAGTATTGTACGAGCACTTTCAAAATCCTATCAACATAATTTATAAACTAAATACACGTCAAATAAAATTGTAGCTGAATAAAGACAAAAATATAAATAAGATAAATCTGATTGAAATATGAAATACGAAATAAGTCTGGAAACTTCTAAGAGAAAAACATTCTATTAATAAGACAAGGCAGCACATTGTTGGTGAACCAAAAGTAATGTTCACTATTGATATCTATTCAAACCTTGTTGTGTTTTAACCCCAGCCAGCAACTAAGCCCCCCACTCCCCCCCTCCCTCAATGGGGTGGGGAGAGAATCAGAAACGTAAAACCGAGAAAACTCATGGTTTGAGACAGAGACAGTTTGATAGGTAAAACAAAAGCTGTGCACAGAAGCAGAGCAAATCAAGTAATTCATCCACTACTTCCCATCAGCTGGCAGGTTCAGCCATCTCCAGGACAGCAGGGCTCCATCACACATAACAGTGACTTCGGAAGACAAATTTCCCCTGAACATTCCCCCCTTTCTCCTTCTTCCCCCAGCTTCACATGCTGAGCATGATGCCACGTGGTCTGGGATACCCCTCTGGTCATTTGGGGTCAGCTGTACTGCCTGTGTCCCCTCTTAATATCTTGTGCACCCCCAGCCTGCTCACTGGTGGGGTGAGAGGTAGAAAAGGCCTTGACCCCGAATTATCAACACTGTTTCCAGAACAAATCCAAAATATAGCCCCAATACCAGCTACTATGAAGAAAATTAACTCTATCCTGGCCAAAATCAGTACAACCTGGAAACATTTAAGTGTGTAAAAACTGGATTTTCCCTACCTTGCAGTAGGCTCATTCCTATCATGGTAAACATTTATTCGACCAACAAATCTGCAAGGGAAGTATACAAGTAGCTTAACAATATTGCTAATTTGTGTATTATTATGCATGTATGTCCAAATATTTCAGTTTAATGTACATTACATTACAGATATATATACACCACACATACATGTTTAAAAGAAAAAGAAAATTACTCTCACTCCCAAAAGATACATGTAAGAATAGATTTGAGAAATATTTTCTACAAAGTATTTATTACAGCGAGCACTCTCCAGTTGAACAAACTCTGATTACCCAGAACATAAACAAGAACATGGAGATACATGAAACAGAAAAATACACAGAACAGTAAGCAAATTTAAAGTTTCCATATAAAAAGAAGAGATTCTAAAATTAGAACTAAATATTCTAAGTAGACCCATTAACAAGAAATAGCAAGAAATCTTATTCCCTAAATTACCTGAGGTAAGCCAGTGTAATTACTATCCTTTACGAAACCTAAAACCTACAATTGAGTTTAAAACAAAAGTGTAAGGCAAATAAGCAATTTTCTCTCTGAATATCTCTAAGTACATTTTATCTGTATGTGGTTGGTTGATGCTGAATAGCAACTAAGCACACACTAGCCTCTTGCTCATTCCCTTCCCATCTGGAAAGGGGAGAGAACTGGAAGAGCAAAAGCGAGATAATGACAGATTAGTAAGTGAAGGAAAAAATACAAGTGACACAAAGACAAGCACTCACCACCTCCCATGAGCAAACCAATGCCCAGCCAGTCTCCAAGCAACAGTTACTTTTGAAAAACTACTCCCTTGCTAGTTTTATTGCTGAGCATGACATTATACGGCACAGAACATCCCTCTGGTCAGCTGAGGTCAACTGTCCTGGCTGTGTCCACTCCCAGCCTCCTGCCCACCCCCGGCCTACTTGCTGGAGGGGCAGAGTGAGAACCAGAGAAAGCCCTGACACTGCACAAGCACTTTTCATCAACAGCAAAAACACTGGTGTGTTATTAACACCGGTTTTGTTACAAATCAAAACCACTACACCGCATGGGCTGCTATGAAGAAAATCAGCTACCTTCCAGCCAGACCCAGTATGCTGTATTTGCAATATCACAGTCTAAGTGGATAACCTCAAATCAAAACAGACTAAGACAGACATTTGCATTCTGGATGGTAGAGGAAACTGGGGAGCTGGTGGGTCTGTTACCCTGAAAATGAAACCTCCCAGGCTCAGAGAACTGGCAACCTGTCTGCTGAGAGAATATACAACACAATAGAGCCACATCTAAAGACACTGTAGAGTTTGCTATGATGCATCATGATGTAAAAAGACCATGTGCCTTTGGAAAGAAAGATTTGCCACTGTGGTTTGTTGAGCACTAAAGTGCCAAGCAAAAAGTAGCAGAGATAGAAATTGTCTACCAATACATATTCTCATTATTTGTATGTGCTGAAAGCACAAAAACAAGTGAGGGTGCCACAGGCAACCTCTCCATGTTGCAGAATATACTCTCACCCCCTGAAGACTTGTCACAAACTATATGTGACATGGGACTCTGACACACAGACTAAGTAAGGGTGCCAATGTCAAGAAATGTATTAAACATTAGTAAAGCTTAATTTCTTTCTTATTTTTTACATTAAAAAACCCCCAGAAGTTGTAAAATTTTTGTCACGCACACAAATGGACTGCTTTGTGCACCTCTCTTTGGAGACCACCGCCCTATAGCAGACCAGTGAACTATCTGCAAGAAAAGAGCATGGATGGAGGACTAACCTGACTTCAAGCTCACGCTGGGACCCACTCTAATGATCCAGAAGCAGCCAGTATATTTTCATTATGATGTTCTTATAATTTATTGTTAAGGAATATTAAATAAAATGGGTAAGAATTATTTTCTTACTTATAAAGGTCAGGCTGAGGTTGTTCACATTCAATGGTAGCATGTAGTGCATCGATTTCTTGTTCATTGTGAAATGCCTTTGTATCTTGAACAGCATAGTGAGTCTGGAACAAATATCAAGGTGTAAATAATAAAGGACAGATACAGGTGTAAATGAAATAAAAAGGGACAGATATAGAAGACATTAATCTGTACATATACTTCAGTTCAGCATGAAACAGATTTATTAACTTTTATGTAAGAGCTCATAGTTCAAGTGAGATGCACCTTCAAAAGCTCTTAAGTGGCCATCATCTTACATTACATGCAAGTACCTTGCAGTGTAGTCACTAATCAGGTCACCATGAAAGCATTTAAGTACAAAACAGTTTGTGCATTATCTCTGCAATCTGCATGCCTATACTGGACACAAACTCACAAATACATACATTTTTAAACTTTCCATAAATTGATACTTTAAGAGAAATGAAGTCAACTGGCAGAAACCACAAGTTAGTTTATCTGCTCACACATGTAAGCATGCAGCCACATGTGAAAAATTAAAAGCAGGCTTTGCCTCAGAAAGAAAATTTAGAACATTTAATTACTTTATGGCTGGATTCACCATCCAGACTAGCTGTTGTAACAAAACATGTTCCATCTTCTCTACTACTTGATAGAAATATTAAGTCACATGGGAATGTTTCATCTTCTTTTACCATTACAATATCTCCAACCTAAAGAAAAGATACAACAGAAAATGCATTTATCATTTATGTAGCAGCCCAATTTTCAGATTTCAAAACCTAGGTTCACTCAAACATTTTGAGAATTCATCCATTTTTATTTACACCACAATTCTACCACAGGAGTAAAAAACTACAGGAATATTTCAAAAACTGAATTACACCTTGTGGAATGACTGAGGTCTGCTGTGTACTATATTTCTTTTCAGAATAAGCATTTTGCAAGTACTGTCTTATTAAGTTTTGCAACTTTATTTTAAAAATGGAAGATACTACCCTTGTTTTAAGACTAAATACAACAAAATATTATTTTAAAAACAGCTGGAGAATTGAGCTACTTTTGTTGGCTCTCGAGGATAAGCATTTAGCTCTGAAAATTATTAGAGATAGCTGAAAAAGCTATGAATTCCAAGTCTGGCAATGATAATGGGATATATTTTCAGCAGAATTTATGACTATAATTCCATCCTATTTTTATCCATATTTAAAGATGAGCAAATTAATCTGTATTCATGCAAACAGGTAAAATTTACAGAGTGTTTGAGTGTCAAAGAACAGCAAACCAACTATAAATTCAAAATAGTACTCTAAAACATTCATCTGAGAAAAAAGTCTTTGCTACATTTTTGGGGGGTCATCTTTTTCAAAGGATTATAAGAAAAAAAAGAAAAGGAAAAATGGCATAGGTTGCCGAGGGAGGTTGTGACATCTCTACCCTTGGAGATAATCAAAAGCTGTCTGATCCTGGGCAACCAGCTCTTGGTGATCCTGCTTGAGCAGGAGGGGTTGGACCAGATGACCTCAAGAGACGCCTGCAAAACCCAACTGGTATGTGATTCAGTGAAAAAGAAACCTCATCTTTAATCAAATGTCCACAGGCTTTAGGTGCATAACAGTCTACCTTTACATGTTCTAGTCCATTTTCTTGCTTAATACATGTTCAAGGATTTTATCCAGACACTTATCCAGATATTTACAGATATCCCTTTTCATGCAAATATTTCTTAATGCCTGTCTCCTATCATCTAATTGCTCAAAATACAATCTCTGAAATGCAAAGAATAGGGGAGAAATTGAGAAAATATAGGCAACAGATTACTTAATGGAATACAAATTCCAGTTATGTGGTACTTTATTTGGAATATTTAACTGTTTAGTTACATACATGGAATACTCAGCATGTGATTGTCTGCATTTTTTTTTATTACCAGGAAGCCCTAGGCAGAAGCTATCACACTCAAAGGGAAGGTCACATCAGAAAGGCATCAGCAGAAAGGCTGTGAACACCATAGAGCCATTTATGCCCAAACAAGGCAAAGCAGAAAAAGATATCTCTAACAAAGATACCAGAAATAAGGAAAATTCCAAACAAATAACTATCAAATTCGCTGAGTTCTAAAGAGAATAATAATGAAAAGAATCAAAGGCCAACAAAGAGACTGTGATCTGATAAGTAACAAAGAAAGTATTCTGAATGTGCTGTATAGATATGTATGCATATGCATATGTTGTACACATAGGACATATAAGTGGTGTTGAGTATGATAATCTGTCTTAAATACATCATTAATGTGCATAGCCATAGAGGACTGAAAACAGAGAGAAGACAAATCATAAATGAAAAACTGGAGTTAAAGAATGGAAAATTAACAGAACAGTTATGAGAGGAGTTAACAAGATAAAATACAAACATATCTAGCTTATAAAATTTACTCAGTGGCATTACATTAAAAATTAGTATACTATTAGTCTCATCTCAATGAAATGTAATAAATGCTACAACATCATCATCCTACATATCTGTATAATTTTTTCTCCCAGAAGCGTGAAGTAAACCCTGACTGTTAAATCATAATTACTTACTCTTAATTTTCGGCTTTGCTTTCTAACCAGTTTACCATGTTGAATGAAATGAACAGGGTATTGGTTCATTGCATTGTCAGCTTTATGTCGAAGCCAATCTTCATAACCCTAGAAAACAGTGAAATGGAAGGACACAGTGATGCGCATTTGGCTATAAAGACACAGAACACCTCTTGCTTGCAACAAAACAAACCAAACAAATAGAGATTATCCTTGATCAAGATACAGGGAGGGAAAGGTGGGGAAGGGGGAAAAGAATATATTCTCACTAGAACAAATGAAACTGTGATACACATTAGTCATGTTGAACACTTACAAACAAGAATGTTCATGGTTAAAATCAGTCAACAAAATTACATTTTTAATTAAGACATTCTGATGAATAGGGATGTTTACAATGTGTAGAATGATTTCTGGTGGTTAAGTGATTATCTCTTGCTCACGCTCTATTGACTCCTGAGTGAGTGCAAAGTACTTCTAGAAGCGGATGCCAGGAAGATAGAGGCGTAGAAATATATTTTGGAAGACTGGGACTCCATAATGAAAGATGATTAAGTAATGACATAACTGAAGGTGGTCATTATTTCCTGACTGTTATACACTTGCTACACTTTTTAACCCTATATACAACATATATCAACCTGAAGAATTTTGTTTTAGGAGACTGCAGAATAACCTATTTTCATCACTCAAATGCTACATACAGAAACAGACAAAGTAAAGGACAGGGAATCTGCAAGTTTCCATTCAAAATGTGTTGCTGTGGGATAAAGACTGGGACCAAAAGACACCAGTGGTTCCACACTCACTTTTACATCTAACTCTCTTGAGTACATTTGAAAATTCAATGCAGAACAAAAGCATAACTGCCTTGGATGATCTCAGAGATAATCTGGGAACACACTTTATAACTTAAGTGTAATATACCTCCAGGAGCTTGTGCAGCTTATCAATCAGGTCTCAAAATCTGTACCAGTTGCTGGGAGGAAGACTCCAGGAGATAGACAGAACTGCAGTACTAGGCACAGCACATCATGGCTTTGGTAGGCCTTGGTAGGCCACTACCAAACTAGAGTAAAACTCTAGAGTGCAACACTTAAAATATTAAGTGTGAAAGCCACACCTAAAATACTAGCTATTCCATGTATCGCAGCTTTTGCTCACCAGCAAGAGCTGAATTCTACAATGGAATATACTCAATTGTATATAGTTAGCGCTGTAAATATGACAATACTGCTCTTCCTAGTTTCTTTGAAAACTAATGAAGGAAAAGTCTGCATTTAGCATAAAGACTGTAAAGGTAATAAGTTACTCTATTCAGGGATAACCAAAATTATCCTCTGTTCTGGGTCTGACTGGAATGGAGTTCACTTTCTTCACAGTTCCCTATATGCTGCTGTGCTTTGTAATTGGGGCTAAAACAGTCTTAGTTACACCCCAGTGCTTTGGATACTGCTGAACAGTGCTTGCACCAGCATCAAGGTTTTCTCTCCAACCTCCCTCCACACTAAAAAAAGAGGCCAGTTGACTGGGGGTAGTGGGCAAGGGGCTGGGAGGGGGACACTGCCTGGACAGCAGACCCAAACTGACCAAGGGGATATTCAATACCATATGAAATTGTGCTCTGCAAGAAAAACTCAGGGAAAGCAGGCAGAAGTGGGTCATTTATGGTGATGGGATTTGTCCTCCTAAGCAAGCATATGTGCTGAAGCCTTACTTTTCTGAAAGTGACTGGACATCTGCCTACCAATGGGAAGTAGTATATGAATACCTCATTTTGCTTGGCTTGTGTGCATAGCTGTTGCTTTCCCTATTAAAGTGTGACTAACATGACACACAAGTGTCTTCACTTTCCCTCTTATCTTCCACAGAAGAAGGGAGTGAGAAAAAGGCTGGGGAGGCGTTTGACTGCTCTCCAGGGTCAACACACCGCATCCTCATTTTTATTAGTCATTACTTTAATCATCAAATCTGTCACAGGTATGTAAGAAATACAGTCTCTTCTTTACAAGTGTTGATCTAAAGTAAGGAGCACTTTGACCTAGAAACTGTCTTAATGTTAAACTACTTAATGGATTATTTTTTTTTCCCCAAAAGATAACATTTATTGGAAGCACGACATAAGAGATCTTTCTTATTGTCGTGGTTCAAGCCCAGCCGG